TCCCAGCCTGCAAAGTGGAGCGGCTGATCAATAAGAGTGAAGATGTGAAGCCCAACTACAAGTATCACGAGGCAGACTCCTTGCAGAAACACTGCCGCTTTGAAACAGAGTCCTCATGTCAGTAAGTAACTCAACTTCCCATGCGCACATCCAGACAACCACTCTTTCTTATGCCGGAAGCCCAGAGGTTAGACTTGTGTAGATGTCATACCTTGATGTCCTGGGAGGGCGTGCACAATTGGGAACAGAGCCATCAAGCCATGACTTGGCTTCTTGCTTCGATTCTCAAAGGAGATATTGGCCAGCGACAAGACGAGAGGCCAGCCGCTTGTGCGCCTGTCATTGGACAATGTGGTTGCATCACTGTACAGTATCATAGCGGCAATGACGGCGTCAGCACACTGCTTGTTGATGTGATCCTGCAAAGAGGTGTTGCGAAGGAAAATCATGTGAGCAGGTGCTTGGCAGCGTTGCAGTTTTGCTTGGCAAGTGCTCAGCAAAGAGGCTGATGCAAGCCAATCGCATCCGCGCAATTGAGCTAATGCAACAAAGTTAGCACTAACTGCCTTCAATGCCACCAAGAACTCTAGTAGAATGCCACTTAAGTACGACAACAACACTGCCCTGCAAACGAACTGATCTACTTAACTTGATCTACTTAACTCTGCTTCAGGTCCAAATGCTACATGTAGGCAAACTTCAACCACCCACCTGCATCGAGTGCCACCAATCCGCACTCTGCGGCGTTGAGTAGATGCGCTGTGCTTGATCGTTGTAGAGAAGGACTGGACGGAGAGCAAAGCCATCCGCGTTCTCCGCAGCTTCAAAAAGCTCAACGAGCAAACGAACAGGGTCTCGAAGGAAGAAGACAAGTGTGCAGGGATCATCAGGCTCGCTCACAACCTGGGATGACCAGCCCTGCAGAGTAGCAGCACAGAACACCGTCAGCGCAGCACGCGCCACTTCCATACTCCTTGCAGAATCTGCAGTGCGCTCCTGCATACTAGCTCACACACGTTCTATTGCACACCCCTAAAAAGCTCAGCCAACCTGTAGAGTGGGGGGTCAAATCAGCAACTCGCCATAAGACACAGGTCTTGTGATGCAAACACTTTATAAGGCCCCCTCGTAGGCATCAGGTAGCACAACTTCTTCCAAAGACAGCTTGACTCCCACAAAAACGAGCAGAACACAACTAGACTTTCTTGGTGACATCACAATCCATGACTACCTCAGCCTGGCATCAAGCGCAGCAACAAATGAACAGCAGATACTTACATCATCCGGGTTGAGCTCCTTCCAGTACGCCTTCCAGTCTTGATGGTTACGGAACGAGAGCTTCCTGGGATCAAATTCTGGATGGTGCAGCAACGCAACCAGAGAATCGAAGTCTGCTGCGCTCAGGCCTTTGAAGCCATTTGCATTTGTTGCCCATTCTGAAAACTTGCTGTCTACGTCAAGAGCTTCTGCATTCTCAAGTGGAGAGACTGCTTTCCGAAGGACGTTGACTCGACGCACGAACTCAGGGCTGCTCAGTTCTATAGGATCCTGGATAGGGTCCCAAGTCTGCCCCCCAAAGTCTACATCCTCCCTCGCAGTTTCCTCAAAGCCAGGACCGCTTCGTGCACGCTTCCGCGACGTGCCTACAGCCCCCGTCTCCGTCTGCGCTTGCTGCTGTTTGCGGAAGAGTGCAACTTGATTAGTGAGGCAAGCTGCGTTTCGATTCTGATGCTGCCCCAAGTACCTCTCATCTATTTCACACTGGCAAAACTGGCATGAAACCTTGCGACTCGTCACAGGAGTCCCTTCGCTGCTGGAGTTTGGGACCGTTGCTCGTGGTGGTGTCTGCCATTCACTGCTAGGATCGTCAGCGCTCCCAGACCTGAGGTAAGATGCTGCGAGCTGCTCCGAAAGCTGTTCTGGAGTCACTGCACCCCTGGCTACGCCCAACGGTGACACTCCTCGCTGCAAGCTTTGGGCAACCTGACCAGCTGCCAAAGCTGCTGCCGCTGCACTCGCCACACCTGCTGCCTGCGCCGCAAGTGCAGCTGCAGATCCCGCTTCCTGCGCGGAGCCACCAGCTGCCAGTGCCGTGTCAGCCAGGCAAATCAAAGCCAAGAAGAAGCAGAGGCGCTGGTACCAGACTGCATTTGCAACTCTTCTATGCAGCTGCACTGGTGCTTTCTTGAGAAAAATGTCCATAGCTGTGGACAAAGGGGGCTCTGGGATGCTTGAAAGCTCAGTGGGCTGCTCAGAATTACTCCCTGCCTTTTGCTTGCGTTTCAACTGTAACTTCTTGTTACAAGGCCGCGCAGGCTTCTTCCGTGGTCTGCTTTGAGATGCAGATTTAGAAGCCTTATTACTAAGACCTTGAACAGGATCTTGTTGCTGCAAAACTGTGCCCCAGACAAGCTTAAAATCCCTGAGCTCAAACGCAATGCTCGTAATCTCCTTTACCAAATATAAACCTATGGCAAAGATGAAGGAATGCCTTCCAAACCCGACAAGGGTCAAAGCTGGCTGAAAGGCACTATGGACAAAGTAGATGATGGTAAGAACGCTGATCACCAGCTTAAGCACCCGCCATGCTTGTCTGCTCGAAGACACTGTGCTTACTAAACGAGCTGGAAGATTGAGGAGTTTGCTAATACCTGGAACTGACTTTCTTGAACTTGGTGCTATCAGCTGCTCCTCCCTCTTTGTCCAGGCATAATGGCGAGCACCCAGTCCTTTCTTCAAGAAACTCTTGGATCCCATGAGCAGATGCTTTCACGAATCAGCAGCCACAGTGTGCCTCCCTGCAGTCTGTCAAGGCTTTTTCTGGTTGCTGAAATCTTCAAGTCTGAATCAAGTCTGAAGTGAGGAGAGTGTGTGGCCTAGGTAAGCCCAGCCTGCCAGAGGTATAGGTACCTACCCCTGAGGTCAAAACTAGGTACCGCAAAGACGCGGGGCGAACAACCCGGGTGAAGTCTCCGTGACATTTGTCAGGTAATCGAGGCCAGAGCAACGATCCGGCTGGCCTTGCGGTACGTACTTCAAAGGTGCTTTAGATGCCCGTAGAACTCTAGACGTCGATACAGTTGAGGTGGCAATCTGGACGACCAATAAGTAACCACGACAAGATCCGCGCGGCAGAAGTTTGGAATTCAAACGTACTTACCGCTGTCCAGGAAGTAAGGTAAGCGAAGAGAGTGGTAGGCCTGCTTATCAACAAGTTCAAGAACGTACCAAACTGGCAGGCGCTTTGAAGTTAGCTGACTGAGCTGCGCTTGGTGGAGGAACCGTATCAAAATGGCTGCTAGAGAGGGAAGCCAACGCATCAGGATACCAACTTCAGCTGCCATTGCAAGTGCTGAGCAGGCTCCTAGAGTATGGGGCCTTCAAGCAAAGTCCAAGGAAGGACTTAAAAGGCATCAAGCTACCTTGTCCCTCTCAAGCGCCGCTGCTAGAAACCAGAAGAGAAGAGTCACTTCTGCAGCTGCACGAGGTGCTGCTTCTCTCACTGAGAGTAGGCTGCGGGAGAAGAGAGACAGCCTCAATCTCAGATCCAATCCAGAACCAGACTCCTCGTCTCCCAGTCTGGAAGCTCCCAGTGCAAACCCAGTTTCTGAGCAGCCCGCAGAAAGAGTGGCACCCGTAAGCTTTTCATCACTCCTCCAGCAGGCTACTGGCACACCACCTGGTTCAACCCCCAACAACGAAGCTCCAGTGGAGCAACACCAGGCTGCGCCTGCCAGTGATGGAAGGGCCACTTTCGATGTGCAGATGGCAGACCTGCTGAGAGGCATCCCCGAGATGGAAAACAGGTCGGAGGCGCCTACTGCCACTGGTGTGGCGCAGTTGAATGTGGCAGGAAATCCAAATGCAGGCCCACCGTCCTCAGGTGAATCACTTTCGAGAGTAACACAATTCAGGTAGCCAGGGAGCGTTGATGCTTA